TCTGAAATAAAAATAATAAAAATAATACTAAGTGCAAACTGTAATTGAAAAAAAGGTTTTAACAGTTAGCTGGTAAAATATGAGCATGATAATAAATTTCAGGTTAACTTGGATCTTAATTGTCTTGTTCATTTGTTTTACCTTACTAGATTTCAAATTTCTTATAAAAACAGATAACTCAGAAACTGCCAAATGGAAGAGATGCACAGGACAAGGTATGGGATAAGGGTAAGGAGCACCTCTATCCCAGCACCAACCGCAAAGTTCTTAATTTGCTTTTTAACTAAAAACTTACATGCTTTGGAAAACATCAAAATTAGTACAAATATTCAAATATTTTAAGTCAATACAATTTACTAAAACAAATAAAATGAAATACCTTTTCTTGTTTGTTGGGGGAATAATGTGTACTTGAAAGTTTGAGCTCAGATTAGAAATCATAAATACTTAGAATTAAATAAATATACTTGTTTTTAACTTAACTTTTATTGTTGACACTATTACAGATGTCCCCGTGCCCCCTTTGTCCACCTCCTTCCCCACCCATTCATATATATATAATCTCCCCATCTCTGGCTGCCCATCTCTGCCCCTCCTACCTGTCTGGACGAATGTTTCTTCTTTAATTTCTTGGTTGTTGGTCTTTCATGCAGTTTGATTTTCTGGCAGTTGTGGTTGTTTCATTTTTAAATTGGTTGCTAATCTTCTTTCAGTTGAGTGAGGAGGCAATATATATCTACTTACACCTCCATTTTGGCCAGAGTCCACATTGGTTCTGTATCCAACATACATTTTTATCCCTAGCATTTACTTTTGAACATATTATGGTACAAGAAATTTTACATAACAAATAATTACAAAACACAAGAACAGATACAAGGTTTTTCAGGTACTACCCATGTATAATGCATATCCTTGTTTTTCCCTAAAATATTTGGGTAAAATGTGCCATGGCAAAATATGGCATTTGCATATATAAATACTTAATACATATCTTACCTATATACGTAGGTACTTAATGCATATTAATGGAATAAAGTAAAAAATGTATTGTTCCTAATCTTAAATGGCCATGTAATCAAAATTATGTATTTTATAATCTAAGAATATAAAAAATTTAAATTTTAAAGAACCGTTTTACAAATTTTCATAACGTTTAAAGGACTCAATGTACAACTTTTCATCCTAAACTACTGAAGCCATTCTCATAACTCCTAAACTCTGGTTTTCCAATGCAGTAAGACTTACCTTAGCCAAAACAGCTGGAACCTTGTATTAAACACGTGCATGCACACACACCTATTTATGGAAAATCTAACCTATTTAGATACCATAAGCACATGAATTTTTTCATGTTTTAAAATTCAGAAATAGAAAAAAATCACATCTTAAGGAACAAAAGACATCTGGGCATTTTCAGATTAATCTAATATACAGTAATATATCGAAGGGAACCTAGTCCTGTGGATTGCTCTGCACACTAAGATAGGTTCCTGAGATTCTTAGGACCATTCCATGTAGAACATCAAAATTTATTAAAGCAAATCAAACAGAATACTTTTCAGAATAGAGACCTATTAAAAATATTAAATACCTGTTATAAAGGAGTTGAGACATCCATTATTTAAAATATCAAACTATTTTGTACAGTAAACTGATATTAATAAGAAGCTTGAAATACCACAGATCCTTATTACACAAACTGGTCACTGGGCCAGCAGGATCAGGATCTGAAGACAATTAAAAAATTTTGTGATAAAATTAGGATAGTTTTCAAACAACTTAATGCCAAATATTTGCTTACATAAAAAAATCATTTAAATCTGAGGTTTTAGGGTAAATATAAAACAGGGCAAAATTATTTTTGATAATATTTACCTGAATAACTGTCTTCTTTTAGGATGAGTAACCATTGTAAATAAATAATTTTAATAAAATATGTGGTTTTAAAAAATTAGAATAACTTGAAAATAGAAGATTATTTTTTTAATCAAAACCTTAAGGGTAATTCAATCATATACCTTGTACTAAAATCTATCAGGAACAATTATAAAGGACACATGGACAATACCAAAGGGGGTAGAATCGAGGGTGGGAGGTGGGGATGGCTGGGGTGGGGGGAGTATCGGGGAGAAAATGGAGACAACTATACTTGAACAACAATAAAAATGATCACAATTTGACCTATCTTATCTTTTGTTAAACTATGTTACATGAAGAGTCTATTTTATATAAAGGTGACATTATTTTATAAAGATATACTGGGGACTTACTTCTTTTTAAAGAAAACATTAGCAACTGAAAATGGTATAATATAAAAGAATCAAGACTCTAAAATGAATTACTTTGAATATCCTTTTGAAGCCTATTTTTCCATATTAGAGAACACAGATACAAACTATCAAACACCTATAAAAAAATGGATGCTGTGATGTTAAGAGAAGAGGTAAAGTGAGAAAGAGAAATTTCAGACTAATTTTTTTGTTCAACTTTATTTATCCACAGTTTGCATCCGTAATATACATTTAGGGTGCCATTCATTTTTAAATACATCAGAAAAATCAGTCATGATAGATCTGTGACCAATACAAACATTTCTGAATTCTTCAAAAAATTCCTTTAGAAAAGTCAATAAACTAGTATTCTGTAAAGATAATTATTAAACAAATGGCAATGCATTCATTCTTTACTTCAACTCTAACTTATCCAACATCACTTCTTTCTTGTGCCTTACAGTAATAAATTTAGCAGACAGATATATACTGCATTTTTAGGGCCTAATAAAATATTTCAGTTTGATTATTTAACCCTCTTCAAATCACATAGCTAAGTCAAATAATGATAATCATTCTTAATTCAATAACTGGTAAAGTAAATATATAATAACCATAAAATGTTTTATAGTTATTTAAAAACTACTAAAAGAAATACATCAGAGCCTTGATATAATGTGTCCTTGGGCACTATGCTGTGAAACTTCTCAGAAGTGGTATTGCCTTTTGGCACTATGGTAAATAAACTGCCAGGGTATGGCCTTCAGACGGACCCATGCTAAAAGGAATTTTGCTTTGTAGTAAAAAAATGCTACAGTGAGGTTCTGGTGCATTTTCTCTTGAAAGTAATAATTAGTTGACAAGTAAAATACAATAAGAAAATGACCTATAATTTCACTAATATTTCAATGGTACAAAACAAAGATACTTAGAAAATAATTAACACCTAGATTGATGAGTAAGAGAAATCCTATAGCATGTTATATAACAGCAGTATGAACGATTGCTTTAGCTTTTAACGATTACTTTATTTGTAACATTATCAAATTTCTACAATAAAAACTGATAGCTGAAGAATTTATTTGCCTTTTTTTTTTACCTTTACTACCTAAGTTTTTACTAGGGAGATTATGTCAGTGAAGCTTTTTTTTTTTTTTTTGATCCAACTGAAAAATAGTTACTAATTAGCTCAAATATTTAAAGTAATACATTACTAAAAATGTTTAGACTATATAGTCTTAAGAGCCTTTAATTCTTTATAAGCTCCAATTTGACCCTTGGGGAATGTAAAAAACACGTCTGTATTCTAAAGCTAAAATTTAATTATATGGCTTCATGCCAACTGATCCAAAAAAGTAGAGTTGTTTCTAAATCAGCCCTTATTAAACTATTTGGCACAATAGTTTTTGTCTTTTATATATACCCTTTGATACACCCAGGCCAACGTCTTTAATAAGTTGCATCCATTTTAAGAGGTAACAAGTGCAAATAATCACATATTTAAGATATGATACTTGATTGGCTACTACAAAAGTAATTATACTAAGGTTCTTCTATAGGAAACAATTATTCATTACAGTAATGTTTTTGAAACATACCTGTACTACTACCAATGTAAATTCCTCCACCTCTAAATTAAACGAGGACTTTTTGTAACATTATATTTATGAAAACATTTATATAACGGTCTGTGTTTAATTCAACATCATGTTAGTCAAGTATCATAAGATTTACAGGATCTACAAATGACCACATTTTGAATAAAAGCCTATTCCTCAATTGTTACTCTATGAATCTAACTAAAGGGAGCACATGGATGCAATGTTCCTGAAAATAAAAACATAAAGCAAACTTTGGCAGCTTTTTCAAAATATCCTTGATAATTAGTACTTTGCTAGTTCTCAAAAACCTTACTGCTTTGTGTAACATTTTCAATACAGAAATAAAATACTCTTCAAACAATACATTTTAAAAGATGATTAAGTTTTGCAAAATTAAATAGCATAAATTAAGCATATTAATATTGTTTTTTGACAACATGAAATAACCAATTTAAGGAAAATTGCAATGGACTAAGTAAAAAAACCACAAATATCACAATGTGAGTCACATTTAAATCCTCACATATTACTGACATAACATAACCTACTAAAATATTTTAAAGTTTCACTGATTCCATAACACATTAAAACAAATTGCAAAAATGTTTAAGACTAAATTAGTCATCAATTACACAGGCACTTCACATGTAAACAATCTACAGTACAACTGAAAATATTTTGGCAACAACCTATAATACTAAAACAATTCAATATAAAGTCATACTCCTATATTTTCTACTCATTTTTTTCTAGAAACTAAGACCAAAGATTAAAGAAATTCTGTATAAACTAGAAGAGAACTGAATAACTCAAATATAGAATTGTTTAAATAGGTAAACAAAGATTATCTTATCTAGATATTACTGGTATGCTATATTAAAAATTAAACCTAAAGTAATTATTAAATTGAAATCGTATTTTAAATTTAGTATCAATTTGAATTTCAAAAATAAGGTTACCAACTGACTAAGTAAAAAAAGAATTTGAATTCTCTTTTTTAGTTTTAGTCCAGTTTTCTCTCAAAGTAGGTTTGGGCTATTTATATAACACAAAATTTAATATAACACAAATTTTTTTAAAACTAAAACTTAATCTAATAAAATTATTTTTATCAGATAATCTTATTCATGAATTTGAGTAACTTGAAATCACTTCAAATAAATGAAACTATACACTTATGATTTTTAAATGTTATATTAAGCTGTAGAAAGCTGAGATGCCTTGGCCATAGGTAATTCAAGAAGAGCCTGAACTGTGACACCGACTTTCACAAGACCTCTTTCTTCCAAAATATGATGAGGCAAACAGAGTCTTTCCTGGAAAAAAAAAAAAAAGATATCTGAACATTTGTTTTTCAATAATGCAGTAAAGCCTAAATTAGTCAAAACTGGATTTTTTAAACATGCTTTTTATAAAATTTCATGTGAAGAACACACAAATACTAATTGATTTTAATCTAAAATGTCTGTTGTTTAAAGTAGACTTTTATGTTATAAGATTATTATTTATGAGCTGTGTTTGATCTGATGTTGATCTGCTTGCTCTACCTAAACAAATATTTCTAAGTGAACAGTCATGCTAAATGTTTCCTAAGCTCTTGTGCTGGAACAGACAAAGCACTACAATTCCAGCCAGGAGATCTAAGGGCTATGTAATATGAAGTATTCAACTTTCCTGAGACTCAGTTTCTTCATCCTGAAGATGGAACTATGTGAAAAACAAACAAAACAGCCTGTACATGGAAGCACTTTGTACTGTGCTTCTTTCTATAAGTTCCAAGGTTCCATGATCTCTGATATATATGTACCACTTCAGTAATTTTCTTATCTTAAGGGTGCTTCCCTCCAGCTTCTAGTACTGTTGTGTTGCTTCTTATTTCGAATAATCTAGAATTTGAACAATAGCAACTGTCTCCTCTTCTAAGCACATCACATGTGTCATTTGATCTTCACAACTCCATGAGAAAGAAGTTTAGAGACAACTTTGCATTAGGTTTCATTAGCTTTCATCATTCTCTTCTAACATCCTAAGGTTTTCAAAGGGTTCTATCTTCACTCTCTCCTCACTTTACACCAGGGGTGTGAAACTCATTTTCACTGGGGGCTACATCAGCTTCACAGTTGCCTTCAAAGGTCTGAATGTAATTTCTACTCCTTAACAGTTAAGGAGTAGTTACATTTATAAAGTCCTAAAATTATTTTGGCTCTTTGAAGGCAACCATGAGGTTGATGTGGCCCTCTGTGAAAATGAGTTTGAGATCCCTGCTTTATACTATATCCTCTCCTTGTTATTCCCAAAGCTTTATCAAAACAGCAAGGGTTAACTGAAGTTTTGCATGCATGCATACAACATCAAATAAAGCTATTTGATAGCTATTTTTAAAGAAACAATGCAGTCCATTGCTTCAGTTGGGACACTGTTCACCTCAGGAAAATAAGCTAGTAGTGGATACAGGAATGGCAAACAGACCACTTACAGGCCCCGTATGGCTGATAACTGTATTTTAGTTGGTTAGCACAGTGTTTAAAAACCTATAAACATTATTTGTTTTAAATCTACTGTTTCTTGAAGCACTGGGAGCGTTGGCAAGACTGGACCCCTATTTCTGAATTATAACAACTATTTCCTCCATCTGATGACTTTCAAAAATATATTTCCTGCCCAGATTTCGCTATTAGGCTCCGGATACAAATGTCAACTTCATACAGCCAAATGGAGGTCCAACAGACATATCAAAATCAATGTGTCCACAACAGAACTACTTCCTCACTTAATTAACTGGTCCTTCTTTATTCTATACCTAAGCAAGTAGTACACAGTTTAATCTCTCTCAACAAAAACCTGAGAATCATAATACCCTTTTCTTTCTTCCTCACCCCAATAACCCATTCGCCAAATACTACTGTAATATCACATTTATTAAGAGTTCTCAAAAACCATCTTTTTATATCTATTTTCAATGCAACATTAGTTGCCCTCCTAATATTTTGCTTATGTATTCAAATAACCACTGAGGTACATATCAGAATAGAAAAAGGTTTCAAATCAATGACTTAGTTCCCACCTCACAAAGTAGAAAAGAGCACATTAAACTAATGACAAGCAGAAAGAAGAAAATAATGAAGATGAAAGAGGAAAACAATACAATAAAACAAAATGATAGGGGAAAAGCAATGAAACCACATTAGTTCATTGAGAAGATTTAAAAAATTAATAAACCTCTAGCTACATTAATCAAGAAAAAGAAAAAATGCATAAATTACCAATATCAGAAATAAGAGAAGTAACATCAGAAGAGATTCTTCAAATGTTAAAAAGATAAATAACTTTATAACAATAAGTCTGGTTAAGTAGATAAAATAGACAAATCCTTTGAAAGACAGAATACCAAAGCTCACACAAGAAGAAATTTTAAAAAAACAGAATAGCTTTAACATTTGTTGAAGAAATTTAAATTTTATAATAGACCTAAATGTAAAACCTAAGATTATAAAACTTCTAAAAATAAACATAGAAAATTTTTCTGACCTGGATTTATGCAAAAATATTTTTGGTCTGACACCATGATCAATTTTACCTCAAACAACTGTGGGAATAGGGTGGGGGATGGGGCATGGGAGAGCAATGGGGGGAAGGCGGGACAACTATAACTGAACATAATTTAAAAAATAAAATAAAACAAAATTGCAGGCAAAAACAAAAATAAATCAAAACTGCTCTAAGAAAGATACTACAATAAGAATGAAAGGACAAATCAAAGACTGGGAGACAATGTTTGTAAATCATACATCTGATAAAAGACTTTCTACATATTTTATAAAGAAATCTCAAACTCAATGATAAGAAAACAACCCAATTAGAAATTGACAAAAGATTCAAATGGACACTTCATAACAGAATTCATATAAATGGCAAATAAACCTTGAAAAGTTGATCGACATCATTAGTCTTTAGGCAAATGCAAAGTAAAACCATATTGGCAAACCAGTACATAACTATTATAATGGCTAAAACTGAAAAAAGAACAAAACAACAAAAAAACCCACTGACCATATTACATGTTGTTGAGGAAATGAAGGAGATGTTTTCTTATACACCGCTGATAGAAGTGTTTAATGGTGTGGCCACTTTAGAAAACAGTCTAGTACTTTCTTTTTTTGTTTATTTTTATTTTAATTTTTAAATTAAATTTATCAAGGTGACATTGGTTAATAAAATTATACAGGTTTCAAGTGCGCAATTCTATGTACATAATCTGTATACTGCATTGTGTGTCCACCTTCCAAAGTCAAATCTTCTTCCATCACCATATATTTGGCCCCCACACCCTTTACCCCCACTTCTGCCCCTTCCCTCTGGTAACCACCATACCATTGTCTGCATCTATAAATTTTTTATTGTTTTTCTTCTTAACTAGTTGCATTCAGTTTTATAACCCACATGTGAGTAAATTTATGAGATTGTTGAATTTTTCTGTCTGACTTATTTCACTTAGCATGACATTCTCAAGATCCATTCATGTTATCCCAAATGGCAGTATATCATCTTTTCTTATGCTTGAGTAGTATTTGATTTCAGGAGTGTCCAATCTTTTGGCATCTCTGGGCCACACTTAAAACAAGAGTTGTCTTGGGCCACATTAAATATATTGTGACATGTAATCATTAAAAAACCTCATAATGTTTTAAGTAAACTTATGATTTTGTGTTGGGTTGCATTCATAGCCATCCTGGGCCACAGGTTGGACACCCCTGGATATGTATCACATCTTTATCCAATCATCTATTGAAGGACACGTTGGTTGTTTTCATGTCTTGGCCACCATGAATAATGTTGCAATGAACACAGGGGTGCATATATCTTTGCAAATAAATGTTTTCAAATATTTCAGGTAGATACCCAGAATAGGAGTTGCTGGGTCATATGGCAATTCTATCCTTAATTTTTTGAGGAAGTGCCATATTGTTTTCCATAGTGGCTGTACCAGTTTACATTCCCACCAACAGTGAATGAGGGTTCCTTCTTCTCCAAAACTTTTCCAATGCCTGTTATTGCCTATCTTGTTGATAATAGCCTTTCTAAGAGCTGTGAGATAATATGTCATTGTAGTTTTGATTTGCATTTCCCTAATAGCTAGTGAAGTTGAGCAGTTTTTCATGTATCTGTTGGCCACTGGCTGGCAATTGGTACTTGGGGGAAGTATCTGTTCAGATATTCTGCCCATTTTTAACTGGATTGTTTGTTTGGTGTAAAATTGTATGAGTTTTTTATATATATTGTACTTTGTTATAAGCATATACCTACCATATATTCCAGTCATTTCAATCCTAAGCTCTTAGATATTTACCCAAAAGTAAAGAATTCATACAGCCAAAGAACATAAATGCTCATAGATGCCTTATTTGTAGTAATCCCTAAAGTTGGGAATAACTGAAATGGCCATCAACAAGTCAACAGACCAACAAACTGTGGTATATTCATACTACTCAGCAATAAAAAGAACGACCTATTTACACACGCAACAACATGGAGTCTTAATATAATTATACTGAGTGGAAAAAGCCAGAAAAATTCATATATATTGTATCATTCCATTTATGGACAACATTGGATAGAAAATGCCAACTACACGATTTTAATAGCAGATAAATGGTTTCCTGGTAGAAGGATGGATTGCAAAGGGCCACAAGGAAACTTTTGAGGATAATGTACATGTTCACTACTTTGACTTTGATGAAGTTTTCATGGTGTATATACTTGTCAAAACTTATCAAATTGTACATGTTATTTATATGTACTTTATTTTATGTCAATTGTAGCTAATAAAACTGTTAAAAACACAAAATATCCTAAAATACAAAAAAACAAATGAAAAAAGTGACTAAAGATTACCATTTCTAAGTCATGAAATAACAACTTGAAGCTAAAAATAAAACTTTTCCTTCACTGCCAGTAGCTATAAAGTTTAGAAAATGGGAGTTGTTGACTGTTTCCTCCATAGCACCCCCTCTTATGTTGAGGAAAGGTGGGGCACAAACACTGCCCTACAACAAGTCAGAGAAGACAAGAGTATGCTAAGGAGAATAGTTTTTGTAAGAACTTCCCATTTACCCTCCTTGCTTAATGTATCATGAAGGTGTTTGTAGTATGTTGGACTGTCTTTTTTTCACATAAGAAGATAGAGTATCCAAGTTAAGAGGGTGGGTTCTGGAGTTAGATCACTGGAGCTCATGGCATGGTTCCATTATTTACTAAAAGTGTGACCTTGGATAAGTTTCCTAACCTCTCTCTGTGCCTCAGTGTCCTCATCTATAAAAACATGATTCATTAAAAAATATGTTTACTGAGAACTCTCCTTAAAACATTCTGAAAACAAAAATGGGAAAAATGTATATAATGCATTATTAGGAAAAAACTTTCCTAATTTTTCTATTTTCTCAGTAAAAGATTAAGAGTACAAAAAAGAAAGAACATAAAATGGTTAAGAATTGAAATTTTAAAACATCATGTCAAGCATAGAGAAAATTAGAAGAGAACAGCAAATAGTTTCCATATACACAGCAATTCAACTGGTTCTCTCTGTATAAATTATATTTACTCACTTGAGAAAAGAAGTTAAAGCGGAATCTACAGACTAAATTATTATGACACTTGAAAAGAGAGCTTAACCACCCAACTCATTATATAAGTGTATCAAATCAACACATCATACACCTTAAACTTATGCAATGTTATATGTCAATTACGTCTCAATAAAAATAATTTTTAAAAATTAAACTAAAATTTAAAAAGCACAACTAGATTGCAACCTGCTAACAGTGTCACATCTGCTCAAAAGTGAGTCACATTGACATTAAGCTTACCATGTTTTAAAAAAAACCACATTTTGGTTATTTTCATTACAAATTTATAATATAACTTTAATTGTTAATTTTATAATTGCAACTATTACATAAAATATAAGCTAATTCCTACAAATTTCAGAGTTTTTCCAGTGAGAAATTATCAGAATATGTTACTAAGATTTCCAATTAGACATTTTAAATAAAGTTTAAAACACTGTTCACCTTGAATGTAAATCTTCTAAGAATCTGTCCATGGAGTTATTTTACAAAGGAGTCCAAATGTCCTCCAGCAGAAAAAAGATAGCAGCAATGATCAAAACCAAGTTGTAATATGATTGCTTATTTATGTTTATTCAATGATGTGTACAATGAGTACAATTTTACATATATGTAGCTGTTTCCTAAATGACTTTCAAAATAGCTTAAAAACATTCATTACAGTGCTACCATAGTAAAAGTTGGAACTCTGTACAAGGTATCCATGGAAGGTAATCATTTTCATGTTCAAAAAGCATTATTCATTCCAATTGTAAAGAATAAAAGAAATGCAGTACATATGTAATAAATATTTAAATTATTATTATGTTAGAGAAATTACAATTACCTGTGAGACACCCAACTTTTTACAAGCATCAAGAAAGTTTTCTACATTTCTTCGACATTTTGCCATGCTCAGTTTAGGCTATAAAGTAAGAAGAAAGGGTATATTTACAGGTATATTTATACAGAAATTAATCAAAATTGATATTCTTTAAAAACAGTTTCAATAGAACTTACAATTTGTTGACAAAACTTACCACCGCTGGTGATGGCACATGAATACTAGCTACAGAGCGTGGCCTTATATGATTGGCTAAATGACAAAGAACAACCCCATCCATGAGTGCAGCTCCAATGTCATCAGGCAAAATTACTTTTAACTTGGATTCAAGATTCTATAAAAAACAAGTATAAATCACAGATATTCTACCTAAATATGTTATATATTTATATTACAAAGTATTATATAACCCAAAATTTTAAAGAGTATTGAAAATAAAATCCATATACATTTTTTAAAGATTTTGCTTATTTACTTTTAGACAGAGGGGAAGAGAGGGAGAAAGAGAGGGACAGAAACATCAATGTGTGGCTGCCTGCCATGCACCCCCCTACTGGGGACTTTGCCTGCAACCCAGGCATGTGCCCTGACTGGGAATCAAACCAGCGACCCTTTGGTTTGCAGGCCAGTGCTCAATACACTGAGCCACACCAGCTAGGGCTCCATATATATTGTTAATTTTCCAAGTTAAACCCATTCATACAAAGCAGATCTGAAAGGTCAATCAGACTTACATTGCGAAGTTGTCGTATTTGCTCTCGTTCTTCCCGTAAATGTTCCATCTTTCTTCTCATTGTAAATCCAGGATCCGCTGCCCCATATTCCTGGCGAGATGAGCGGCTAAAAGCTATAAAAACAGAAATTTCCTAATTTATAACAAAGCTAATAAGAAGGATCAACCATCGGTAGGGAAAGAGGCATGATAAAAAGAATCAATACAAAATTTCACTGAACACTATTACTTTATAATACATTCTAAATATTTTTATAGAATATAATCGAAATCTACTTATCTGCATAATTGAAAGCAACAGGGAAGACAAGTGTAACCATTTCTACCACCTATATATGTTCTTATATAAATATACATTTTTAGAAATTTATGATCCAGCTTAAAAATTATTAAACATAAATCAGCCTTTATTATTATCTTTAAAGAAAAATGAAATTATTCTTGAAGGTCAATAGTTATTCAGGAATAAAAACTGTAATTCAATACCTTGCCAAGTAACATGGATCCATTTTCTTTTGGGCTTGCCAAATGCGAAAAGATCCCTTTTTAAAACCACAATATAATGGAGTGCTATAATTTCAAACAGTGTTTGGTTTGCTGGCAGAGTGGTCATTCTAATAGCAGTCACAGTAGTGTAGAAATAAGACTGCAGTATATCTAAGGCAAAAAGCTGAGGTTTCAGGAGCTTGAAGGTAAAGAGGAAGAAAGAAATGGGGAATGGGAATTGGAAAGACAAATAAGGTTAAGAGAAAATTACTTTTGGAGAGGGGAAAGAATCTGCGTGTACTTAAAACTATGGAATCAAATCCCACTTAAGCTTGGAAACTCTAGTTTCATATATAACCAATAAATTTTATTTGCAGAATATATATTTACCTGATCTAGGCTTCAAGCCAAAAGGACCATGTGAAAAACCATCAGTTTTATCATATTCCTAAAAACAGAAAATAAAACCTGTTTTCTTTCAAAATAATTACGGTAGTTATTCATATCCATTCCAATTTTGAGAAGTATTTATTTTTTCTATTAGTGAAGTAAAAAAAGCCAAACTGCATTTCCATTTAAATTGATAATTTCACTTTTAAAAGGTATATAAATATTTGCTAATTGACCTGATTATATAAGCCTTTAAATATTTTTCTCCCATAGTATAAGTAAAATCAAAAGTCAAATTATTGAAGTATATAAATTTAATAGATATTATTTTTAAGTAAACAACAAAGTCTGAAATGAAGTAAACTTCAGTGAAAAGATAAGTGAAATTAACAACATTTACTTAGCATATACCATGGAGCTGACACTTAGGGGACACTATGAGGCAAAAATATACATGCATACTAACAGGAACTCCAGAATGAGAGACAATAAATTATTATGTCTTCTTTTTGAATGCACATTGCTTCAAAGTGCTTTCACACAGTTACATGCTGTGGAAAGAACTGTGGCATATTTTAAAAATCTGAACTTCAAAAAAGGCAAATGAACTCATCATAAAGCTTAGGTTAAGTCTTAGGCAGAACATTTAATTTCTCTGTGATTTTCTTCATCTTTAAAATGGGATATTGTGAAGATTAACTGAGATAACTACAACACTTTGTAAAGTGGTAAGATAATGTAATGTTAGCAGCATCTTATTTAATCTGTGCAACAATTGTGAAGTATATACAGTCTGGGTTTCAGTCACTTCTCCACCACTTATTCACTGGGGTCTTTCGGCAAAGTTTATCAGTCTCTTCAGCTGTAAAATAATGAGGCTAATACCCAGTTCATAGGACTTCTCTTAGATTCAAATTTACAGGCAAGCCTTTGTTAGTAGTAAAGTTCTATACCATTTTTTAAAGATTTTATTTACTTATCTTTAGAGGGGAAGGGAAGGAGAGAAAGAGAGAAATATCAGTGTATGGTTGCCTCTCACGCGTCCCCTTCTGGGAACTGACCTGCAACCCAGGCATGTGCCCTGACTGGGAATCGAACCTTGATCCTCTGGTTCGCAGGCCCTTGCTCTAGCCACTGAGCTACACCAGCCAGGGCTATACCATTTTTTTCATCCTTTTCCTTTCACAGATGAAATGGAAGCAATCAGAATTTTGTTGATTCTCCGAATTTTCTGATTAACATGTGATATATAGTTCAAGTTGAATGTTAATTGAGCTACCAAAACACACGCTCACCAATCTAAGCATCCGCAAGCCTCACAGTTTGTCTTCATTATTTTGCTAAAATGTTATGAATTCACAGACAAAATTTTTACTTATCCAAATGCAAGCAAAATGTATTATATAAGCAATGTAATTTACTTGAGAAAACTGGCACCAATACTTTCCCCATGACCAATGATCATAAAAATCACAAAGCAATTAGGCAAATAAGTAGTCACTTATATGCTTACATTTGTTATAATTGAAAGTAAAAGACTTACAAAAGCATATGACAAAGACTAATTTTAAGATATCCTAATTTAAACTATTTTCCAAAAGAATGTAAACCATTTTACCTGCCATACAAGTAATTTAGAAACATGTTTATAAAACTAACATCCAATTTTATTTAAAAGTTTTAATCACTTACTAATGTCAACACTTTTGTAGAATACTAAATAAGGTAATTTTAAATAGAAAAAGATACTGTTTAAAAATTTAAAAATTTATCTCTTGTTGTAAAGCAATAGGTTTAATCAAATTAGAATAATCAATTATTCAAAACACTGGAGTATTTGACTGAGATCTCACAAACTTTCATCTAGCCCTTCTCCCTTCCCCCACTCCAGTGTAAGATGCTAAGAAATGTGTACCCTCCTGTCGATAGGAACAACCCACAGCAGGGATGTTTCCCGTGGAAAAAGGAAGTTTCTCTTGCATTGCTTTCAGACCTAATTGGTTATGAGAAAAACCAAAGGCCACTGCACAATGCTGAAGTAGTTTGTTTTTAAAATTAAAATTTTAAAGCTGTTTCTATCACTTATTTCAAAATATGGATTATACAACATAAAAATCATATAAATTGAATGCTTTTCTGTGATCTAGATGCATCTGTCAATGAGTGAATATGTTATATTTATTATGAATATGTGTACAAAAAGATGGTAGTGTTCTTAAGATTCTTTATAGGCTATGTATGTACAAATTAACCTATGTGGCTTTCTAAATATGGGTGAATAAATTACATTGGAAAAAAAAAGATGAGGTTAGAGAAAAGAGACAAGAAAGAAACTTATACAAACATATAAAAACAGAATTTGTACCTCAGATGATATTGAAGATTGTGGTAAGACATTAGCATTATCACTGTCTTGCTAAAACATAAAAATAAAAAGATGAAAGATGAAATTAAAACATGAATGATGATATAGACATATAAATAGAAACTGAAAATTGTTTTGATCAACTGCTAAAGAAAGAATCTAGAAAATACCATCTACCACCTTGTTGCTTAAAGTGTTGTCTGTGAATCAGCAGCATCAGCATCCTCTGGGAACTTGTTAGAAAGGCAAAGTCTCAGGCCTCACCCAAGACCTAATCTGTATTTTAATAGGATCTCCAGGTGACTAATAAGCCCTTAAAAGTTTTAGAAGTACTATCTACTCACACAAAGTATTTTCCTATAAATGTATTTCCTTTAAATATCACAAAGGAAAAACTCTTATTTCTTAGAAAAGATCCATGTGTTAAGGTTCATTTCTGGTGGGAAATGGCAATAACACATTACAATCTGGGCATGGAAAAATTCTATCACTCCAAATAAAAACATTTATCTAGAAAATTATGTACAGCACAGGTGGCAAACACAAGGCCCAAGGGCGGAATCTAGCCCTCCACCTTGTTTTATCTGCCCCGGCACCTTGTTTCTACCCGGTGGCAGTGCAGAGCTCCTTGCCCCTACTTAAGAAGCAGTTACATTTATACAGTCCTAAAATTATATTTGGCCCTTTGAAGGCAACCATGAGGCTGATGTGTCCCCCAGTGAAAATGAGTTTGACACCCCTGAGAGCTTAGAAATAATTCCAAATAATTTAATTGCATAAAATAATATTAAGCAGTCTATGTTTTTTGAATGACTACTACCAACCAAATACAAAAATCTAAACATTTAATCTTGAATCTGCATACCACACAGGACATTTACTCACCATTCAACAAATGATTACCAACTACCCAGTATATGTTAGACACTGCACTAAGTATTGGGAATACTGAAATTTAGTAAAATGTTATCCACTGAAGGATCTCCAATCTGAGGGAAAAAAGATTAATTGATAGAGGTAATACAACCTTCTTAAGTAAAAGGACAGAGCTTTGAATGTCATATCATGAGGCACAGATAATGGCGCTTGGAAAGATGGTGCTGGAGATTGAGAAGGGCAAGTTTCCTGAGAAACAAAAAACAAAACAAAACAAAACAAAAAACTGAGTGGGTGTTTACCAGAAAAAGAAGGGAACAGCATTGCAAGATGAGAGGACAAAAACAAAGGCACAGAAGCAATGAAAGAAGAGTGCGGAAAACCTTGGAGCAGTTCCCTGTTGCTGGAGACTTCAGTGAAAGGAGAGCAAATTGGGAGTTGAGGCTAATATGGTAAGCAGAGAATTGACTAAGGAATTAGAATTTATCCTCTAGGTGATGAGGAGACATTGTGAAGCTTTCTAAGCAAGGGAATAGCCTGGTCATATCTGTGTTCTTTAAAACAGTCATTGTGGTTGCAGAGAGAATGGACTAGACAAAGGAAGACATGAGTAAGGTTGCTACTACAGTCAAGAAATGGTGAGGGCCTGTGACGGGGCAAAAAGAGCAGATATGCAGGTATGGAATATATTGAAAATGTTTCAGTATCAAATAAAAATAGGCCCTGCCGTGGCTGGTGTAGCTCAGTGGATTGAGCATGGGCCTGTGAAGCAAAGGGTCGCCAGTTCAATTCCTAGTCAGGGCACATGAGAGGTAACCATACAGATGTTTCTCTCCCACTCTTTCTCCTCCCCTTCCATCTCTCGATAAGCAAACAAACAAACAAACAAATAAATAAATAGGCCTTGGTAACTGATTGGATATAGAGGCAGGTAGGACCAAAGTAGGTATAAAATAAAAAGGGCCAGGAAGAACAGCCAAGATGAATCACGACACTAGCTCTGTTTTCAGCAAATGTTTTCTGTGTGATTCTATTTCATAAAATTAGAGTTCTCAGAAGCCCTGCCAAGAGCCAACATCAAATTAACTATGAACACCTCCAAACAAAATACACAAAGCTGAAGTATTCATGGTAATGAGACTATCATTTCAAAAATTCTAGGCTGCTGCAGTTTAAAATGGTGAGGTAAAAAAATGTACAGTAATGCAAAAACTGTAGTAATCTAATTTTAAACATTAAAATAGTACAAAGAATTTGTGAAAATATATTAATAAATCCCAAACAAATCTCAATAGACCGCCAGATTGATTTAGGAAGAAGATGGTAAAAATGTAAAAAATTTAAATTTATGAGTTAAAGTTTCATGATGAATGTTAAAATTCTAAAATTGAACTATCAGAAATTCCATTATAAACAAAGAGCACATAGCAATTACATGATTAAATTAATAATTATATGATAACACTTACTTTTTATTATTGCAGAAAACCCAGGCATTAAATCAATAATGAAGACACTGAAACATGGATTACAATTTACTCTAATTTAGTCAACTACATATGAGAAGTAAATATTTTAAGTAATTGATAATATTACCCTCTTTCTCACCTCATCATTTTCATTGCCACTTGAACTCTTCCTTGATGATTTATACTGAAAAATATTTCAAACACATATTTTTCCTTGAACATATGAGTTCTCTACTAGTAACTTATATATGAGGTTTATTCATATTTCAGTATTTTGTTAAATTATCTAATACTAAGTTTAATTACATAAGCAGTTTAAAGAGTCCTACCACTTACTAATAGCTAATACATACAGGGTCCAGTACAACTAATGCCCATTTTTTACTACAAAAAATCTTTTACTACAAAATCATAAGCATGTAACTCTGTAACATAACAATATCACATTCAAGCACACCATACGACATTTTAGGTGAAATGTTCAAATTAAAACTATAAATTACCACCGTATATTGTTACCCTACCAATGACACTCACTCAAGCAGGCCTTACTTTTGCTGGACTGTGTACAGTATGTGCAAGGCACTGTTTTACATACTTTACATATATCAAGTAACAATTCTTCCTTAAACAAATCCATTTTCCATTCATTCCATTTTGCAATCTGAAGGTTGTCTTAAATGTTCCTTTTTCTTAATCCAGTACATCGCATGTGTCATCAAGTTACTTTTTTTGTTATCTCAAACTTACGTCTGAATTCTCGTAACTATCACCTTATCCTGGGCCCTATCTCATACTTAGTCTATAATCTCATCATTCAAAATGTCATTATGAAGAAACCTACTTATTTTAAGTTAAAAAAACCCACTACATTAAATGTATATATTGACTATACAATAATAGTAATAGTGATAATAGCTAACACTATGCTAGCACTTTATACCAGGTACTGATTGAAATGTCTTACATGTATTAACCCACATAATCATCATAACACCTCTGAAGTAAATACTATTATCTTCATTTTATACTTAGGCACAGAGGCAATATAGTCAATATAAAAAATGCTACTATATGAAAATGTGCTTCTTACAATGAAGAAAATACAGTATGACAACCACTAGAGTTCTCACTTTTGATTCTTCTTTACCACAAATAATCTTGCAAATCAGTGGCAGATTAATCTTCTCCAAATACTACTTGCAACTCAGGACTCTCCTGTTAAAAAAAAACTATTAACTTCTAGATTATGTCTAAATTACTTTGCCTGGCATTCAAGGTGCTCTTTAATAGCCCCATTTACTTTTGTAGCTTTATCTTCCATAAGTCTTGGAAAAAGAGATAACCTATTTCCTCGCTCAACCACAAACTGGGGGCTGAGCAGAATTAGGGATTACAAATACAAAGCCTAAATTCCTCCACTGTCTCTCCTGTGACTTAAGACAATTCTCATTAATCTATCAGGGTGCTCTTTTCAGCTGATCCCAGATATAGTTTCAATGTTTTCAATCCAGTGTTCCAGACTGCCAAAGAATCAAGTTTGCTTGTGTAAATAAAACTATTTGCTATTGATCCTTGCTTATGTCATTCTTGGTTCTCTATTCTACTTCAACAAAGTATGTCATTAAGACAGCAGACAACCGGACTCCAAGATGCCATCAGTCATACCAGCAAAGAAGAAACTCATGGATATCAAAATAAGGGAGCTGCCAAGCTGGAAACTGATGCGGGATTCTACCCCTAAAGGCACTGTTGAAACATTTCTAAGACATTACTATATGTTGGTATTACCAGAAGTATGTCAGCCCTGGCTCAGTGGTTTGAGTGCTGGCCTGCAACCAAAGGGTCACCAGTTCAATTACCAGTCAGGGCACAGGCCAGGGTTACAGGCCAGGTGCCCAGTAGGGGGTATACAAGAGGCAACCACACATTGATGTTTCTCTCCCTCTCTCTCTTCCCCTCCCCTCCCTTCCCTAAAAATAAATAAATAAAACCTTTAAAACAAAGAGGTACGTCAATGTGAAGAAAGAAAGTATTGTTGGGGTTTCTATCCTGCTGGCAGGTTAAGTACTTTTCCACTACTGCCAAAGAACTCAACAGTGAGCATCTAGGCAAGTACCACTGAAAAGAGCCCAGAATAAAGGGAACAGTCTGCATTCCTGACCATGACCTTCTTTGTCAGGCATCTCAATCTTTGCTAAATGCTTTCATATTCTAATTGAGAATTAACACCCAATAACAGATGACTGTCACAAAAACATACACCCAAAACAAAACAAAATGACATTTGAGTGAATAATAAGCTAGTATTTATAAAGTGCATACTCTGTGGCAAGTGCTATTCTAAGAAATTTACATTACATTATTCAATAGTTATAATAATCTTTTTTTAAAGATACTATTAGGGCCATTTGATCTTTAAAAATTGAGTTCAGCAAGGTTAGGTAATTCACCAATGACAAACGATAAGTAGATATTTCAAGTAATGACTGGAACCCAAGTAATTTGATTCTAGATGCTCAGGTTCTTAATCACTATAATATACTCCCATCTCTAAATCCTGAATAATTAGTAGGAATGTACCAGGAATAAAAGGGCTAATGGGGATTCCCAGAAAAAGAAAGCACAACAGAATAAAAAAGCTCAGCCTCTGCAAAAACAAACAAACAAACAAAAGCAAAAACCAGTCATGTGGCTAGTGAGAGGAGTGAATTGAGGCAGGAAATAAAACTTAAGAGAAGTATGGTCCATGAAGTTTTGAATATGTCCAAACTTTATGTTATTAATAATGGGGAGTTAGTACAGAAATTTAAGTCAAGGATCTCTCCCAAAGTTGTGAAAGTAGAGAAAGGGGACCATTAAGAAGTTATTACAGCCCACTACACTTTAATTCTTTTTTAACAAAAAAAGTTACTGCAATTGCCCAGACAAGAAAAATGAAGATTACAAGGAAAGCCAAATAGCTGAGATGGAAAGTATGTGATAAATTGAAAAAAGGATGTTTAATTAACATCCTGGTGACCAATTAGGTGAGGGGAATGAGAGGTGAAAACACAAGAAGGATATGAGTTATAAAGCTTAGACAATAGACCAGATACCAGAACTACCATTAACAAAAATAAAGAATAAAAAGAAGCCCTGGCTGGTGTAGCTCAGTGGATTAAGCATGGGCTGGGAACCAAAAGATCGCAGTTTGATTCCCAGTCAGAGCATATGCCTGGGTTGCAGGCCAGATTCCCAGTAGGGGATGCATGAGAGGCAACCACACATTGATATTTCTCTCCCTTTCTCCCTCCCTTCCCTTCTCTCTAAAAATAAATAAATAAAATGGTTTTAAAATTTTTAAAAAAAGAATAAAAAGGAGAAGCAAATTCTATGGTGGGGGGGCCAAGAAGGGAAGAAATTGAATGTGACATAAATGTAGGGCATCCTGACAATTAGAAATATAGGTCTGGAGACTAGAAAAAGTTTATGGAATATAAATTCAGATCCAGATGAATATAAAAGACATATGAAGTCATAAAAGTTTCAGAGACAGTTTTTAGACTAATAAAAAGATGAATCCCTAAAGATCAAGCAGAAGAAAAGTTAGAAAAAAAATTAGACAAAAACATCAAAAAGAAAACAAACATTTAGAAGAAAAATGAGTTTCGAGAAGTACGTGGCCCTGGCTGATGTGGTTCAGTGGACTGAGTGCCGACCTGTAAACCAAAGGGTAACTGGTTCAATTCTCAGTCAGGGCACATGCCTGGGTTGTGGGCCAGGTCCCCAGTGGGGGGGGGGGGGGGTGATAGGCAACTACACACTGATGTTTCCCTGTCTTTCTCCCTCTCTTCCCCTCTCTCTAAAAATAAAGGAGGATGTGGTCATCATTGTCAAATGCTACAGTACATTTTACCTTTTGTAGGTTTATGTGAAGCTCTAGTGAGGGGCTATTTCAATGGAGGAATAGAGGTGAAAGCCAGACTGCAGTGGGTTAGGAGTGATCAGAAAATGGAGACTGAAAAATGGCAAGTGTTGTTCTAAAAAAAAACAAAGAGAGAAGGCAGCAGCTGAAAGGGGAATCTGGAATAACAGTAGAGATCTGAGCTTATTTATAAGATGGAAAGTATAGAGATTTTAAAAAGGATATAGAAAAGTAAGTGAATAATTGATAAAGGAAAGAAGTAGAGGATGATGTAGTCAAGAACTTACATAATAAGACTAGTATTACTGTTACTCAATTACTATTCTAATTAAAAGTATTCATTATATATGAAAACTTAGAAAACCATTATTTAGTTTGCATTACTGCACATTGCAATATGTATATATTAAGGTTTTACTAAATAAATATTAAATCTTAATATATACATAGATTTTAAAATACTGGGTAAATCCAAATTTTTTACTAACTCAACTGAGCTGTCCTCAGTTAATATTATTCTGAATAACTGAAGTTTTATCATATCTAAATTTAAATACCACAATAAAGGCCTGTTCTGAAACAGGTCAGTTCATCTCTGAAGCCTAGATTAAGTTTACAGGCAAGACAGTTAACTACGAACAAATTCTGACTCAGAACAAATCAGGTTATTTCAGAAGCCCAGCTGGTTTCCTTTTTCTAGTATAAAATTAAGCATGATCATATATATATATATATATATATATATATATATATATATATATATATATATTTATCTTGGAGGTTAGCTTTTAAATTAAAATATTGTACTGTACTCACAGATATGTATTTTGTGAGTCGTTATGTTGTATCACAGTAGTAATGAGATACATTTGAAGACATATATGTATGACATTTCAGTAAATCAAATAATCCTTAAAAGTAACTAGGTACAGTAATTCTAATGTTTCCTAACATTTTAGTTTAAAAATCAATCATCAAATGCATTCAGAAATTCATGTGTTACTGTGCTTACAAGAAACTAAAGCTACTAAATTACATTAAAATAATTTATCAACAAGAGGTTAGATTTTCATATTTTATTGTGTATCTTAGTAAAATAATATTAATACATTTTTATAAAAGATTTTAATAAGGTAATCTATTTCCTACGATAGCTTTACTTTGAGAAATGCAGTGATTTTATTTTGGCAACAAGGACATTCAATTTTATTTACCAGAGTAGTATGTGATAATGGCCAAGGAGTCTGAAAGAGTTAATGTACCTCCCCTAAAGTAAT